AGGAGGTCAAGGTCATTCTTGCAATTCTTGTCGAAACGGTGCCTTGTCGATTATTCTCGAAAGTTGATCCCACGGGTGTCCCGGTGAATTATTTTCGGAATTGGGTCGGGCTGCAGTTTTGGCAGGAAAAAGAAAAAAAAAGAGCGAGAGAGAGAGAGAAAACATGCGGGAAAAACATCGTCGTATAGCTCGTTTATTTATAGAATTCACCGGCGATTATGTAAAAGAATATCTCGGTTGTCTCGGATTCCGAGATCGTGAGTAATTTTATCGATTTTATCTAAAATTTTATTTTGAAAAAATTAGAAGTTTATATATGCTGCGAATAAATGCTGCGTAATTAGTATGAAATCGAATCGACCTGATTTCACCGAATTCGTGAATGAATCGAGTGACGCGAGTCGAGACAGCAAACACTTCGAAATTACTGATCGATCGTTTCTGGGTCGTTTCCGGTCGATTGCCTCGGTCCTTCAGCTTTCTTCCCTCCTTACGAAAGATCGATTACACCAATGCATATAACGATGCATGTGTAAGTAGAACGGAAAATAGTCCGTTAATTCTTCCTCCTACGATTTATACATATACTAGGTGTCTCGGATGTATCGCGTTTCGCCTTCTCGCTATGAAATTCCGATAATTCGTCTAATTAAATTTCCTCAGTGAGTTATATAGCATCGATAATCTCGTTATGAATATTAAAATCGTTCGGCGATAAGGAAATTAGGTTCTGAGATGTGATGAGTCGAACACATCAGAATTTCGTTATTGACGGACGATGTTTATTTTATAGGAATTTACTTTATTTTATAATTATTAATCGAACATTCAAAATTAATTTTTAATAGAAAGAGGCTCGATCGTACAAAATTGGAAAAAAGAAAATGTCCGGTCGAAACGTGGGCGTGGTTTTGCGAGAATGGTTATTTCAGAATTCACGAATGAAAGGTTAATAGATCCAAGTCACTTTGTATACTTTCCAGAATAATAGGACGCTTTCGTCTGAAGACCTTTGGTCTTTACTCTTTTACACACGCACATACGCACGCAACAGGCGAAAAGAGCGAGAGAAAGAGCGACGGAAAGTTCTTCCTTCAATGAACGGAAATCGACACGCGAAGAGCTTTTGGGCATAATATCTCCTTTGGCATCATCGCCTTTAATATCGCCTTTAAATCGACTATGTTGCAACGACGACAATATTGAATGTGATAGTTTCTTCGACGTTATACTGCTATGATGATCATGACGATTCGTCATAATGATAATGATGATCATGATCTGATGATGACAATGATGATGATGATGATGATGATAATGATAATAATGATAATGATGAGTTGATGATAACCCCCGATGACAGCGGGTAAGGCAATTCCAATCTTTTATTTCTGTCTGAGAATCGCCGTCCCTCGCGACGATCAATTTATATATTAATTCGGTAATTGATCGATTTGCGGAAAGGATGATTTTACAAGTTGTTTGAGGGAACGATGTAATTCCCGATGAGTTCGATTTTTCTAGTACCGTACGGGCACCACGTGCCGGGCGACATATCCGCGAGTAAACTCAAGAGTCATTTTCAATCTATAGATATCTGCACATTCATAGAGTCCGTGGATCTACGATAGTCAATCCCAAAATTGAACGGTTCTGCCGTTGTGCCAGCTCTTTATGGCTTGTTACCTGAGACATTTCTATTCTCACGCTAATTTTGTGCAAATCGCTTCTCTTTCTCATCCATGTTGCAGGATTTGAAACCGATGAGATCTCGATATTTCGATTTTTTCTATCGATTTTTTTTTTTTGCTATCGTGATCAAATCACGAGACTTTGTCGATCGATTATTTTCGTTATTAGCAAAAGTAGAACGATTTCGGAATATCGATACTTCAAATAGAGATCAATCATTTTTATGCCGTCGGAAATTAGACCCAGTTTCATCAATGTTATTTTGGCTTTAAGTGAAACTTAAACACGTATCTAAATAAAGACATATGTTTAAGTCTTGTTTAAAGCCGAAACAACATTGGTGTAATCGGACCTTAGACTCCTATCTCGGATCGAATTAAGGATCGGCATGGAGACCTTTGTCTTAGATGAACTCCGGTTCACTCATATTACGGCTAAAATATTGAATTGCAATATTTATAATCAAGAAAATTACCTGCAGACTTCTATAAAGCGATTTGTTAAAAAAAAAAGAAAATAATTAATTCTTTAACATGTCATTCGGTTTGCACTATTAGTGCAATAAGATGCAGGTACTTTTATTTTTTGTAAAATATAATTTTTAAGAATTAAATTGCAAAATGCGGTTTTGTAGAAACTTTCGTAGCTTTATAATACGTAGAAAAAAGTCTCATGACAAAATACTTTTACGAGATGAAATATAGTTGAACTCAACAAATATCTGCGCTACAGATAATCATTCGTAATATTATAATCTAAATTGTAAAATCTGACCTAGCTTTATAACTAATACATAAAAAATATTAAAATGTTGCTTCTACATTGAGATGAAATATTTATGTAATAGTTGAGCTCAGATTAGTATCTGCATAAATAATTATCTATAGATAAGGAATAGATAATTTATTGGAGTTGGTTCCTGCCGGTCTTTAATATTGTTATCAGTTCTTTCCGTATGTGATCGGAGTTGCGTGTATGCGCGCGTGTGCGTGTATGTTTACGTGAGGACCGTGATTCTCAGCATCTTCGACAGCAGACACGCGCAACTGTACGGTTTCCCGCCGGATCTCGCCTCATCGATCGGTCGCCGGATGTGCAATTTCGTTTTCGCGCCATATAATGCCGTGCCTCCGGCCACTCTTGTCCCGCGTTGCGGATCGATGTTTCCGACACGGCTAGTAGCCTACGGCGTCGCCACGTTACAGCCAGCTGGATTCACGCTTCCCCTCTCTCTCTCCTTCTCGAGAGAGAGAGAGAGAGAGAGAAGAGTTCTCCTCCGTGCGACGTATATAGTCCGCCGACCTGTTCAATGACTGCTTGCGCTATCAATTTGGCCTTGGCGACAATCGCGAGTCCGTCCTCATGAATTCACCTCGGCGTCATTTTTAGCTCGCTGCCGCGGCGCACGCACACACGCACGCATTCACGCGCGCACGCACGCACGCACGCCGCACGCATACGCCATCGCGTACGCTTGTGATAGCCCGAGACTGGCTATTATGAGTTACGATGAGGTGATAATATAAATCGAGAGATGCGTTCTTTATCTCGTAGAGATTCATGAGCAGGGTCCGTTGAGACTCGCGCGATGCGCCGCAACCGCTGAGCTGATTGATTTTCTAACGACCGGGAGAACGCGTTTCGCAAATGTGTTTCCGATATTGAGATGTATTCCTACAAGAAACGAACGTCATCAGATCTTGTTCATTCTTCGTATAGCAGTACAATGCATGAACGATATACTGACGAAATGAAAATGAGAAAGGAAAAATATCGTATCTGTTAAAGATTTTGCCAAATGTTGGTTAAATAATGCATTGGCATTAGGGAAGAGTATATATGTATATATGACACACACATATAATATATATATATATATATATATTTAGTATATATGTATATATACATAGCATTTCAATTATGATGTGATCCGTCATTTATATACATGTTTCATTATTTTATATATAATGAAAGATAATGTTTTTTTTTTTTAGAAATATTGAAAATGAAAATCTTTCTGAATATTTTTGTCATCGTTGCAGCATTAAATTAGAACGTGTCGTTAATTTAATGGGGAAATTCATAATTATATAAATTTATTACCCTTCACATACTAGATTCAAAAATTGTTGCATATAAATGTTCTATTGACAAATAAATATGATATATAACATAGTAATGAGATAAAAAGTAATTCTTGAGGATAATTTACAAATATCTGTTGTTATATGCAATCTTCATAATATTTTTTTTTTTATAAATGTGTAGCAGCAACGATAACGATTTGGAAGATGGAGAGATTCCATCAGACGAGGACGATGAGCCAGTCACCCGTGCAACGAATGATGCACCGGAGGTTGTCAAACCAACACCAAAGCCAGATTCTGCAAAGAATAAGAGTTTTGATGCAAAGTTCAACAAGAGCAAAAAGTCGCAATCTGCACAGGCAGCTAGTAAACATGATCGATTTTCGAAGTACAAGGGTCCAACTGAAGATTGGGCTGGAGATGTCGAGAAAGCTATTAAGGCTGCGATGGAAGAGGATGGAGGTAAAAATCAGGAATCGAAGACGAAGAGCAAGAACAACAGAAATAAAGCTAGAAAAAGAGCACGCGATGAACGAGAAGAGGATCGTAATAAAGATCAGAAGGTAAAAATGCAGAATTATAAATTTTATTTATATAGATAAATGTTATTTTTCTTGTATGAAGCATGCTTTTGAATCTGTAAGGTGTAAAAATTGTCTTTATCTTATAATTAAATTTTTATGGCATTATATAGAAACGAAAATTAAGCGACGAAGAAAATGCCAATGAGGACGAAGATGAAATGCTGTTCGTACGAGGGGCCTCACCTATTAGGAAGGATTCTCAAGAAAATAATTCTCCCAGACGTATAAACGAGCACGAGAATTTTGAGAACAATTCAGATTATGAGGAAAGGCCTAACATAAACCGACACAGAGAAAATGACAACAAACAACGTAACACCGGAGGACGTGGGGGTATAGAAATTTAACTTCTGTTTCTCTTAATTATATAATCATTAATTATAATATTATGTTAATTAAAATATTGTATACATTATTTTTCTCTCATGGTTGATAAAATGTATTTAGATTTTATTAACTGTATTATATTATCTTTAATACTTTTGTTTATTTATGATAGCCCGTCGCGGTGGCAAGAATGAACGTGGCAAGAACAAAAATCGACAAATTCGAAATGAACGAAATAGTCGTCGTGCGCAGAACAATGATCCAGATACAACGGATACGATTTGTGTATATTACATGCAAGGAAAATGTCATAGAGGAGATGATTGTCCATTTTCACACAACGCCTTGCCACCTAGAAAGATGGAATTATGCAAGTTTTATCTTATGGATTGTTGTGCGAAACGAGATAAATGTCTGTACATGCATCACGATTTTCCATGCAAGTTCTTCCATACCGGTTTAAAGTGCAATCAGGGTGATAATTGTAAATTTTCGCATCAACCTTTGAACGAACAGGTACATTATGATTTTACGACTTTCGTCGTTAAATAATTTACGTTAATTTTTACTTAATAATATAACTTTGTAATATATTTCAAGTAAAAATTAGATGCTAATAAAAATAAAATGTTATATTAAATTTTTACTGAAAATATTCTTATTGGAATGATTTCTTATGTTTCAGGTAAAAGGCATTCTTTTGAAACACTTGGAAACTGCACCAAAAGAAATTCTTGGTGATTTTCCAAGATTGAGTAGAGAAGGTGCTATGTTAATGATAAATAATACTGCACGTTCTCTAGCTCAAGGCCAAGATACGACGAATCAAAAGATTCCTAGTCTTTTCGAATTAAATTTATCAGCACCCGTAGAAAAGACTGAAGAAAAAGAAGAAAAAGGTAATTTTCTCTTTTTCAATAAATGGAAATTAACTAATTTTTATTAAAAATGTAATATTGCTTTGTTGTTTATTTGAATTTTTATACTAAAATTATAATTATTTCATGAAATAGAAGAAACAAATCAGCAAAAGACTAACGTGAGAGAGAGGAAACCTTCTGGAAAGAAGACGCGATGGGGTTCGGATGAGGATAGAGTTCCTTATGAGCAGATTATGCTACTGCAATCTGCGAACGAACTCGGTCTTCAACTTCCAAATGCTGCGTTAGGTTTAGCCACCCAGCAACAAAAGCAGTTGCAAATTACACCATCTCTAGATTTTTATAGTGAAAGAAATACAGAATCAATTCATAAAGCGAATGTTGAAAAAACGAAAGAAGATTTTACAAAAGACATAGAAGAAGACACTGTAGATGAGGTATAATACAAATTTACATAAATAGAATTTACATAAATAGCAATAGATTAAAATTACAATAAAATTCAAATTAAAACTTATAATATTAGCACAATTGTTATAAAACTTTTATACTTATATTTGCAGTTGAGAAAGAGAAAAGATGTTGATTTGAGACAGATGCTGAATGCAAAGAAACCACCATCCATTTACAGTATAGCTGATAAAGTAGCAAGTCTCACAAAAAATAAAGTCGATGACGAGAGCGATCAAGATGAAGAATCAGAACTTGTTATCGAAGTGCCAATTGAAGATGAAGACAAGGAAAAAGGAAAGCTTTTTGGAAGCGAACAAAGTAAGAACTATTTACTCTTCACATCGGAACTTTTTTTTCTTTATTTATATTTGATATTTATATATTATAAATTTTTTCATTAATATAATTTATCTAATAATTATTACAAGTAATCAAAAAATATATATAATATATGTGTTTAACAGATGAACAACCTCGCGACATTTCTTCCTTTATTGATGATCCTGAAGCAGTGCCAGCTCATTTACCAAAGAAGGCACAGGAGTTATTTATGCGAATACAACAGCAGCAACGTGCAGCTCAGGACAGTTTGAAAAACATGGACAATGATTCCGGTGCGCCTAATACCGATCAGATCGTCGATGATTGGTATTCGGACGATGAAGATGATGATGATGACGACGATGATGAGGGCGGTAATCTTACTATAGTGGATAGTTCGAAGGATGAAATCGAACCTATTGAAAAATCTCAGAATGTCATCATCAAGGAAGATTTTCAATCCACGTCATCCGCTTCCAACATACCTCAACCGGCCGCTATCGTGGATAAATTAGGCGATTTGAGTAAAATTGATATCAGTGCCGAAGTGTCCAAGTTACTGTCCACTCTGAAAGCTCAAAGCTCTACGAACAACAAAACACAGCAAGCAGGAAATTCGAATCAAGATTTATCTAAGTCTAACTTAGTGCAAGATACAAGAACAGACAGTGAGATGTCGAGTCCGAGGCGATCCCCAAATTCAGTCGCTGTACCTGTATCCAGAGATCCACGAATGTCTCGAGATCCTAGGCAACGTCGAGAGATTGAGCAAAAGCCAAGTAGTCCTAGCACATCCGATGTGAAAAGAGAATTACAAAAGCCCCTCAGATTAGAAACGAGCATTTACAGTTCCGGCATCACCGCGGTGGACTCAAATATGGATACTGACCTTCGTACGAGAACTGATCAAGATCTCAGGCGACAGGATATGGATTTCCGGCAGCGTTTTCAGTCTGGCGACTTTGGCGATACAGATCTGCGCGTCAGATCTGACGTGGATCTGCGGCAAATTTTGAGCCTACCATTTAAACCGGCACCCTCACACATACCGTGCACCGAGATCGACGCAAGTATCGCATCGCATCCACCAATAGTGTACAAAGTCTATGTAGTCGACATACCCAGACCGGATTATACTGGTCTGAAGTTAACAAAGAACGATGCACAGGTTAAGTATGACCCACGGCTCCGCAAAATCTTCCGCATTACCAAACCCGAGCAACTTGCCGATTCGCCAATGTCGCCGCCACCACAGATCAAACAGGATACACCAAAATCGCCGCCGCAATGTATTCGTTCGGACCCACGACGGAAAACTCTTGAAGCAGCGGCTTCTAATCAACAATCTTCGCAAAACGCAATTAATACTCCTATAATGTCTAAAGGGATGCAGCCAATGGAGGCGATGGGACCCAATATGAGCCTGAGTCCTGGCGCTATGCAAGTGAGACCTGGTATGTCAGGTGGCCCACCGCCTGGTAGCATGCCAGGTCCGCCTCAAGGAATGATGGGTCCGATGGGTCCAAACCATCCAATGAACATGAGCAGTATGGGTCCGATGAGGCCTATGATGAATGCTGGACCAATGCCACCGCAGAATATCCCGCCCATGGGTATGCCACATGGCCCCGCAATGGGTATGAACGGACCTGTTCCGATGCCACCTCAGAGTCAAATGAATTTCGATCCACGATTCAATGCACAGCGTAACAACGGAGCTGGATTGTTAGGCCCTGGGCCGAGTACCTTTGGACCAGAGAATTATGAAAGTGGACCGCCTTATCCTTGCGGCAGCAATTTTAATAATTTCACAGGACCTGGCGGCGGCGGCGGCGGCGGCGATCCGTTTGGTCCAAATGGATCGAATGGGCCCAATTTTGGCCCTCCGATGGGAAGCGACGATTGGGGCAGCAGACAGCGTGGCGGTCGTGTCCGCCGGAGAAATCGCAGCAGAACCAATATGGTGACCAACAATTAAAAGGCGTATTAGGAAAAATAGACTGTGAGCACCTGATGATAATTCTCATGATCGATAAATAAATTCGCGTGTGTATATATGCGTACATGCAACGCACTCATAACCATATTTTGAAGTCTTTCCAATTTCATTATTTATCGACATGTTAAGATACTTTCTTGTGTAGATCTACAGATTTATTCCTAGAAATCTATACAAATATTTATGTAAATATTTATATAAATATTCTTTACAAAAAGTTATCTTTATTATCTGTCTATATATACCATATATATATTTTGTTTAAAATTAATCTGTAGGATTTATTCAAGAAATGTTATAATTTGATAATATAATGTCAATTGTTCGATGATCAGTATGATCGACAGATTCGAAATTTACAAAACTAAAAATTATTGAACGACAGAGAACGATAAATTTAAGAATCATACTTTTTAAATCATTTTAATAAGTAACGAGAAGGTACATCATATATAATGCTCATATGTCGTGCAATTTTCCATTTGGAGAGTACCATGTGAAAGTCCAACATATTATTCCAACATTCAAAACATACCGAATATATCCATCACTTTAGTTCGTAACTCGTTGCATAATTCTCAAGAATACCAATTAGAAGTATAATTCATAATATAAGATATTTATACATAAATAATGACGAAAATGTGTATCCGCTCGTTACAATAAATAGATTCTATATGAATACTTAACACACGTAAGTCGCGCCGAAATAATCAGTTGGAAATAATATGTAAGCATGTGTAAGAAATCAAGCGGACGATGAGAAAGACGATTTAATCGACAATTTCGTTGTCTTCCACAAGAGTGACATGCGAATGTCTGCGATCTACAAAAGACAAATGTCTCTTGACGATTGGCATATTCGCGATTTGTAAATTGCCATATACAATTTTACGTTTTGCGAATGATTGTACGTAGAGATTCTGAGATAAGCTGCAATATTTTGTAAAGAGATAAATTAATGATTTTACGAAATAATGTAACAAAGTACTTTTCTACTTAAAAAAAGGAGTGCAAGTATGTGTGAATTCCAGTATCGCTTCGATTGATTTCGTCTTGGGAACATGCAAATCATAGTGCTCGAAGTAACGTGTAGTGCTCAGTGCTCACACATACCTCCGACATAAGTTACTTAGATCCTCCATTGATTTTTTTTTAGCAGGGCACACCTACGTGTCTGGATTTAAATAACAATGCTCTGTGACAAAGCAGAAATTTCTAGATGTACGTATCCTCTTTAAGATATATTTCTAGGAATAGATACGAGATATAAGATTTTCCGCTAAATTAGATATTCGATGTTAATTTACATAATTTTGTTTATTATAATATATTGCTACATTATATAGGTATAGAGTCAAATTATATTTGTAAACAGTAAAGTTTACTATATTATGTATAGCAAGATTTTTGTACAGACAAGAATTATTGATTCAAACGTAAAGTTTAGTTTGTTTCAATGATGTAAATACCGCTGTATTAACTCTGTGCACTTTTTAAAATACAATTATATGATAAACGTGTCTATATATGAGAAATGAAAGATTTTTGTACAATATACAACCTATATATTAAAAGTTGTAATTCTTTTTTGTTCTAATGCGCTCAATTGTTTTTATATGAAATTTGAACGAGAAAAAATAAGCGATGATTTAATCTACGCTTTCAAATACATCAATGTATAATAGAACTTAGAGGGTCAGCACGTATTGCTGATAGATCCAATCGCGCGTCCATCTCGTCGTCTAGCTCTCCTACTATCGCTCTGAAACGGAAAAATACATCGTGATTAAGTAATATATATTTTTCACTAATATTTATGTTATTTATTTTCATATAAATGTTAATGCAAAGTGAAATCATTTTTCTATTATTTTTTTAGGATGAAACCGATATAATAATAAAAGGAACAATCATGATACGCTCATTAAAACTACTTTGTGTACAATTTATCTCAGGATGTTATACTGACACGTTATCTCCTCTAATAATGTGTAAACCTAAGACGACCTGCTCCACTCCTTGTGTTGTACTGTATACCCGCTCATGTGATTCATCCAGAATTATATTAATGGTCTGATCAAAACCTTTCAATGTGCCCTAAAACAAACTCTTTTAAATCGTTCATATATAAACAGCTTTTGCATTAATTTCAAGGATATATATATATATATATATATATATATATATATATATATATAGCTTTTAATTAAAAATGCAATATGCAGATTGTCATCTGTAAATTAACTATTTAAAATATAAAACATTTATAAAACTTTATTGAAGAATTATATTTTTTAAATATGAATATTATCAGAGTTATCACAAAATTCAAATTCTTTTCTAATGTTCTACAAATAGTTCTTCAAAAATTTAGCTACATAATCGCATTCAAATAAAATTTTAATTCAAATTTGCATTTTCAATAGGTATTCAAACAGAATACCCAAATTTTCAATAATCTTCATTTACGAAATAGTATAAAAGCAGTACAGTATTGTACTTAGCTATACTGTAAGTGAGGGAACAATTTTTTGCACAGGGTATAAAACAATTGCGAGCTGTACACATATGTGAATTGATATTTTTGTAATTCTACGAATTCGTGTATGTACTTACAATAAAATTCCTACCGTCCGACGTAATAATGGAAACTGTATCTAGGCAAGGTTTAAGGTTAATACGATCATCGTGTTCGTCGCAATTCGATTAAACTGTAAATTAATGTACGAAAAGGATACGATTCACATAGCTTTCTAATCCTGACGCCATTATCTAGCTGTCTGTTGGAACGTTGGTGTAGAACTACATAAATACATCAGCGAGTCATCAGTTATCACGGTTAGAGGTTATGCAGAAATGGCGAAGCATTACAAACAAACCGGCTGACTTCCATGCCGACTATAGGCATACAAATAGAGAGCAGTGTGAAGTCAGCTGTCATACTAACATTTTCAACAATTTTAAAAACGCCATTGGATTGCTGGCGTTTGTTAATTTTTTGCATGCCTTTTTATGTTATTTGCATATTAACTTTTTTGAGCAAAAACTCGAAATTAAAATTTGGATAGATGTCCAACAGACATTTGAAACTTTCATCATGATTTTATGAATATTTTGGTGCTAAAACATCCATATAATGCATATACTATTCTAATTTTATGGATTATCCAATATTTTATTTATTAATAACTTGAAATTATCTAGTAATTTTAATACTAGTTACTTTTACTAGATACCTCGATGTGCATGCGCTAAAAAGACATACTAATAAATTAATAGTTAATAATAATTTATAATAATAATATATAATTTATTGCTTTTGCTTAAAATAATTAATATGCAAACAAAATAAAAAGACGTGCAAAATTTAACAAACGATTAGCAAAAATCCAATGGCATTTTTAAATGTACTGAAAGAGTTAATACAGTTAACTTCATACTGTTCAAATAGAATGAGTTCCTACAAGACTTTAGTAAGAAATATAAACTGAAACGAAATTTAAAGATTTTCTGTTTCTCCCAGTTCTTTATCTAATTGTCTTTGTTAAAAAGAAATAACACGACCAAAAATATTTTTCCGGAAAAGATAAATCTAAAAGATCCTATTGGTAACTGTTCAATTTAATCCGCCAATCTTCAATTTTGATAAATTTAGATTCATTCGACATATTTTTGTGTAAAACTAAAGATTTGAGAAAAGAAATCGTTTCTTTGTCTCGCAAAACGAGATATTAATCGTTATAGTTAACGACTATTCAAGTTAAAAAACCTGTCATACCGACGAAATGTAACGATATGCGCATGCTCCGTAGTCACATGCTTTGTGGTCACATGCGTATGCAAAAAGTGCGCGAATTTGAAACATATGTGTACTTATGATCATCTGATGATTTCAATGATAACTGAATATATCTATTAAATTTCCGGTAAATACATGTAATATCTCATTTCGCATTGATAAGTGTATTTATGGAGACAGTCTGTTCCACTCCCCCTCCCCTCCGGGGGAGCTCCATTACCGAAAAATTTAATCAAACGTCACACGTTTAATCTCGCATGCGTATATGGCCATCGAGCATGCTCATGTCGTTACATTTTGTCGGTACGATAGATTTGCTAACTAAATAGTGGTCTCAGCTTCAACGATTAATATCTGGGGGCTCGATTAATATTTCGCGAGGCAGAGCGACAATTTCTTTTTCTCAAACCTTTATTTTTACACGAAGATACGTCGATTAAGCATAATTTTATCAAAATTGAAAATGAATGGTTAAACTGCACATTTATCATTTTATCTTTCTAATACTGCGTTTTTTATTCTATCCTATGTACTTTTTATTTATGAGAAATAGAACTTCGTCGCATTCCTTTGATAATAGTGCCGCATACCACTCGTGGGTTAACGAAAAGTATGTTTTTTATGTTCTCTTAGTTATTTTTTTTATATATCTCTTAGATATCTTTGATATACTTTGATATATGTACATACATACTCAATGAACAGAATGTCTAAAATTGATGTATAAGACAACTTTAAGATATCTTTAAAAATTCTTTAAGAAATATCTTTAAGATATCTCATAAAGAATTCTGAAAGATAAGATTGAAGTTATCTTATGCGTTAATTTTATTATATGCATTAATTCTATTCACTGGGACAGTCCACTGGAAAATTTCCAGCCGATGTGAGTCGACATGTCCAGTTGCAATGTAATCAAACGAGGGGTTTCCATGTATTTTAGGTTGATTCTACATTAATCGCGCAATCGCAAGAAATTGATTAATCACATTAATCACTAGTTTCCATTATTTTCGATCGCAAGGAAAATAATGGACTGTGATCTGTGAATTTCTTGCGAGTTTGTAATTGTACAACTAATGTGGAACCAATCTTACGACTAATGTAGAATTTAGCCAGTGTGACGTTAAGGCCATTGCACGTGAACAAATTTTAGTTATAGTTGTAAAGTCGTAAGCAAATTGATCAATCAGAGTTCGCCTATTCTCCTCACGATTCAAAAATAATCGACTGAGAACAAAAATTCGAAATAAAGATTAAACGTTACGCACAATGAACACAAATAAGATGTAGTTATATCTTATAATTATATCCATTGTACATAACATTGTTTAATCTTTATTTCGAAATTTTCATTTTTAAAATTTAATATTTATTTCTGCTCCTAATATTTCCCCCACTGTACGCAGAATCTTAATTTCAGATTAACATTTTTATTATTTTTCTACGTTGATCTTGGTATAGTAGCGACGTGCAGATTTCGACTGTCCCGCAACGAGATGTCATCACCGTGAAGTTGCCGCGGTAGATGGCGGTGCATAAAGCGATCAGCCAACGGTATTTGAAGTGATCAAACGCGATCGACGCTTCGTCCGTCAGTTTCGTCGAATCGCCTGGGACGAGGCGGTAATTCTATTAATCCGACGGATTAAAAAACCGCATCGATCGCGCGCCCTCATCGCGATATTTATCGCGGCCGGTCGCCGGCGAACGGGGGCGGTGTTGGCGAACACGAACACCAATTCACGTCCGAATTCGCGGCCGCTTCGATGCGCGGAATATCGACTCGGCGCGCCGCGCCATGCGGGCTTTCATCAGCTTTCATCGCGGCCGCAGGTAAATTGTTTTCTTTTCATTTCGTATTGATGTTTTGGTGTTTGGCGAATGTGCCGGAATGCATCTCGATCGCTGCTCGCGGATCGATTGGATATAATCCAATTTCCATTCTGCGCCCCTTTTCCGCTCTCCCCCTCTTTACCCTCCGATGCGAGGGTAAGGCTTTGTTGTTGCGCTAACCTTTCGAAGGATTTTTTTGTTACCGCGTAAACCTCGCGATCGGGTAAGATCGGATAAGATCCGCGTCCGCGAAAGTGGAATGCAGACGTTAATAAAATACAGGGTGTAATTAAAATAAGGTAACAAATTTCGAGGACGAGCTCGCATCAAACATCAAAATAAAATATGAAAAAATTTATATGAATATATTCGCAAGTCCATTGTCCACAGCTCAAAATGTTTATTAATGAACGGTTCGTTAACGATCGACATCAGTGAGCAGAAGATAATCCGCACATTACGTTTCATGTTAGACATCAGCAGCAATTCTAAATCAATGTATGGGCTGGCATTGTAGGTGATTTTCTGATCGGGCCTTGGTATTACCGCGACATCTTACGACATCTTAGGCGATGTTATAGAAATTTTATTTTATTAGTTATTACATATACTTCAAGCTTATTGGACAATGTTCCTTTGGCAACTAACATGTGGTTCACAACGGAGCTCATTTCTATCGACTTGCATGTATTTTACTTGATAATAATGGCCAGTTTATTACTCCGGCAGATGGATAGGTAAACCAATTGCATGGTTCCCTCGATCCTTCAACCTTAATCATCTAGGTTTTTACCTGTGAAGACATTTAAAGTCCTTAGTTTATGAAGTTTCAGTCGTCAATGAAGATATGCCGTGTCAACGCATTTTTAACGCTTGTGAAACTATTCGCAATCTCTTTATAAGGATCTTTGAAAAAGTGCGACAATCCATAATTCGCCGTGTTCATGCGAATATATTGAATCGCGTGGGAAATACTTTGAATATTTGTTGTAATTAAAAATAAATAATATTGAATAATAATAAACATTTGGAGCTATATCCCAGTGAGCTTGCGTAACATATGAACTTTTTTTCATGTGTCGGTGTAGGAAACTCGTCCCTGAAGTTTATTACTTTTTTTTTTAATTATACTCCGTTTAAACAGGGAAGAGTTTCATCTTGATTGATTGATATTTTATTCGTGAGAGTCAAAGGCACGCCTCTTATCGTGACGCGATCGCGCGGATGGACGGCAAAAGGCGGACGCGAGAAAGTGCCATCCGCGAGAAATCCCGCTTTATTCCGCCGTGATTTACGATGAGATTTAAGCGCGACGCGATGATAGCCGCCGACTATATTGATTCCGCTAATGAAATCGGCGTTTCAAATGGATAACATTGACAACGTGGTAATTGGATGAATATCGTTATCGCCGAGGTATATACGACACAGCTCGACTAAATTATATCACGAAAAACACGTCTCGCCGGGCTTTATCTCGAACAATCAAGATCAATTACCATTGACAAAATGTAAATTCAGCCTGGATTCGATAAAACGGTTCGATACTGCAGTTTCTTCAATTTTATAATAATTTAATTTTTAAACGTAAAACGAACGATCGAACGATCGGCTATTAGATTAATTATTTAATAGATTATCGACACGTTATGTATAAATAGTACGCGTATTTTATTTTTAATAGACAGCCGTAATGTAAAGTCATTAAATCTTCCATTTTATTAATTTGCTAATGCTTTTTTAAATACTTATTTTTTTACACGCGTGTCATGAAAACGGGAAATAGTTTTTCCTGTCGTAAAGTATTTAACGAGTGTTTACAAACAAAAATACGTTCGTGGAATTTAGCAATATTGTAATGAGATTGTTTTAAAAATAGCGTGCATTTTTCGAAGAATAGAAAAAGGAAGGCACATCGGAAAATTATTCAGATTTTCAAGTAAGTATTTTTAGTATGTTGCAATTTTTAAGAGGATTATTACATACGATAATCAAAGTTACGGGTAATAATAATTAATGTATTACCAAGAAACAAATTTGTCGCTAATGGCTGGAATAAATCTGAATTTTCGAAAATGGCAATATTAATAATGCGCATAACAATTTTTGATAAAAGCGCTTCTGAATAATAGATTCGACAATTTCGCTCAATGATTTGGAAGTCTGGTGATAAATATTGGCAGTTAGCTATCCATAAATACGCAATGCATCCCGTAAATGTAAATTTTCTGCCAAATTAATGCTTCTATCCGAACTTTTTTGTAATTCGGCAGGCACGATATTCAT